GGCTCAAGGACTCGCACAGCTCTAACTGGGTAGCGATCTCTACTAGTTGCTTGCTGGGCTGCCTCGAACTTCATGGCGTACAACAGAGCGCTTTTTTGTCCTTTACATCTGCCATTCGAAGAGCTTCTGTATTTCAGGATCCCGGATGCCGTCGATGAAATATTGGCAGCGACAGGATTTCTCTTGTTTCTGTCGGGCACTCCGAAAAGGCGTGATGTGACAGCCTTCAACATCCGTGGCGAGCTCCTGAAGTGTTCGGTGGCTTCTGCTGACGGGATTTTAGTTGAAGCCTGCTGTAGTCTTCAAACATTTCTCCCAAAGCGCAGCTCCAATGCGCCGGATAAAGCTCGAAAGTCAAGTCTTTGGTTTTCGGAAGCCGTCTGCAGATATCCGCTGCGGGCTCTCAGAGAAGCGGCGAGATGGCAGGCTGTTTGGGAATCCCATCCATTCGCATCCGAAACGATAGAAAATTGTGTTTATACACTTGCCAGATGTCTTCCCATCAATATGATAGCTTCAGAGAGGAGCGAGCAGCATAGATAAATTTAAAACCTTCAGAATGCTTCCTGTCATCGCTATGCAATTCTTTAGGCTGTCAACTTCTTTGCGACGGCAGCAGAACCCTATCATCAATTTGGAATTCGATTTGTTGTTGAACAGAACAAACTCTTCCTTCTATTTCTTCTTTGGCAGAATCAACTCTGTAACCTATTTGTTGTTCCACTGCCGAAACTCTGTCTTCTATTTGCTCTTTCACAGAAAAGACTTTTTCTTCAATTTGTCCAACTTTAATTTCAACCGTGTCTATTCTGCCTCCCATAACCTCAAATTTATTTTCTATTATGCAGGTAATTTCTCTTTTCATCTCTTCTTGTCTCGCTTCAATCTTTTCCTGATTAGATTTCATATCCTCTTTCAACGAGGCAAAGGCTGAGATCAACTGCCTTAATTGCTCTTCCATCGCTCTTGTTATTGGCATTCAAATCCCACTTCTGACACCAAAAATTGTTGCGTGCGTACGAGTTCGTTATGAAATGAATGCACAAGTCCGATGAAAAATGAACAAAAATTTATTATTATCACAACAAAAATGCTTAAATTTTCTCAAATTATCATGCAGTATTACAATATCTCACAGTAGTTATCTTTTAACTACTCAAATGTCCAATAGAACGTAATTCAAAAACAGCTAAAGAACGCTATCCGCGAATTCGCTACAATCAACAAGAGCAGTTTTTCCAAGCACAACAAAACTAAGCAACTACTACAAACTGAGATGTTTTCCTCCTTTTATAAGATTTTTAAAATCACGCGCTAGAATTTTCCAGTACTTTCTCGAAATCAAAAAGAGATATTTATTTATTTAATGCACGCGCTCTTGTATTTTCAATTTTCCGGCTTAGCTTTCTTTTAATATTCGTCACGCGCTGCACTGCGCGAGAAATAAAACCATTTAATTTGTAATTGAACTAACATTAGCTTTTTAAATACAAAATTCGTAACAATATGAATATGCATTTATTATTATATGAGTCGTAAAACGGCCCACCAACGGTAAAGTCGCTGAACACTGGTAGTTTGGTCCGAGGTTCGAATCCCGCGAACGGTCCGGCTACATGGGTGTTTTCGTGGTTTTCCCCATGTGTAATGTGTATACGAGCCAGTTTCCCTTAGAAAATCCTCGACGAAGGCATCTTCCCTTAGGCAGATAGCCATAGTGTGCCTTTACACACATGAGTCGTAAAATTCAGTGTTCGTCATTTTTAGATTCTAGGTATATGACAAAATTTATTTTTTTAATTTTCGTTTTGTTTTTAAAAATAATTCACTATAGCTTTCTTCAATTTATTATAAAGGAATAGGAGTTTAAATTTTGATTTATATATATATGATATAAATTCATCATTTTTAATAATTTTTATGTATAACAAAAAATTATCGTAATGTTCCAAATTTAAATTTTTTTATTGATTTGTCTTACATTTGTGTATATTTGTTGAATGCATAGCTAAATATTTCAATTATACACAATAAAGGTTATGCAGAAAACAATTCAGCTGGCATGATAGCTAATTTAAAGAAAAATTAGAGTCTATTGCTCTTAACTCTTAGTACTGTAAGGATCCTAAGTTTTACTAACGTTTATTTTATTTTAAATCTTTGCTATCACTTCTTATTTTCTACTTCCGGCCAGAATTAAAATCTTTAACTTATTTATGCAAATTTGTCTTGCTAACGCCAAGTACTTAAGTGGTGGCTTTTTGCCAAGCAAGACAGAGGAAGGAGTTATTAGAAGCAGGCCGCTTCCCATAGTAGTTTTACTCGGTTCCTGGTTGCCTTCAAGGCCAGAGGTTTAATCCTCTTGATAATTTTAAACGTATCATAGTTTTAGCAGCTCTCTGTACTACATACGGATTTTGTTAAATAACGGCCAGTCTTAAAGTTAGGCACTTGTAAATTAATCCAAAGTTAGTTTCAGTTAGAGTTTTAGTTAGTATTTTTATATTCTTCGTTCAGACCACAAGTGGTTGGTTTCTGTATTCCGAAGTTCCGGAAATCACTGTAAGGATAGAAAATAAAGGGTTTTGTATACCCTTCCTGTGTGTATTGTCTACTTCACAATTTATGACATAGCTTGAGTAAGCTCCCTGTTCCGAGTCAGGACAGTTCATGTTTCCAAAGCAAGTAAAGAGGAATACAAGTCCTGATAGTACAAGCAGCCATTTTTAAATTGGCGTTAAATAAATTTATTCTATGGTCTATTAGAAAATAACTATACTGAATCATTTATTGACGACTTCTAAGAGGTCGCTTTCTGAAGAAACCTGTATTTTTGAGAACATAAACATTCGTTGATATGAACATCACTTTTTTAAGATGCCAGAGCAAATGCACAGAGCTCTAAAATCCTCTAAAAGCATAGACGGTCATGTTTTAAAAGGCTGACTACTTTTAATAAAGCATGTATATTAATGTTCATTATACATTTGTCACATATTTACTTTCTTTCAAAACCGCGATACCGTGGTTCAATTGCTTTAGAACTATGTGAAACTAATAAAATGGGCCCTAAGTTATAAAAACCTAATTATATTCAGATACACGCCTTTTGAACATGTTTGAAATCCATTATTCTAATCAGAATACTATTAGAAATCAAAAGCTAAGTGAGATTAAAGTAATAAGAGTCATGTCGTCTAACCCATTTTAATTGAAGTAAACAGGTGCTTACTTTATCGCAAAGTGAACACCTGTTTTTCAAACAGCGAATGAAACGAAAAAAGAGCCCACCAGAGCTCGAGCGGTAAAGTTCACTATAGTTCGGTCCGGGGTTCAATTCCCGGCCAACGGCTAGCTGCACGGGCGTTTCATTGTTATTCAGTGTGTACTTGCATATGAGTCAGTTCCCTTTAAAAAATCCTCCACGAAGGCCTCCCTCCCGTAGGCAATAGCTCTAGTGTGCTTTGCTGTAACCAAATAAATCAAAACCGAAAAAAAAAAAAAAAAAAAAAAAAAAAAAAAAAAGGGGGAATTGATGGTGGAAGGCAGCTACGAAACGTCGTTTTAGAAGAATGGGCTACATAACCAAATTTCTATCTATACTCTGGTAAACAGTACATTATTTGCTCATCAACAGCCTAAATTTAGCTAATGCTCGGCTAGTTTTCTTAAATTGCATTTTTAGCCACAGCCCCCAAACAAGACGAGTTTGGTATTTTATTTCATTACTTAGTTATTCATCATTAATTTAAGAATTAATTAAATTTTCATTTGTCTTTAAATTTTTATTGAATTATAATAATAATCATTTAATATATAGTTGCTAATTATTTTATTATTGTAATGCTATTTTATTTATTTATTATTTATTCATCTTTCCTGATGGCCTTACATAGAGCTCCAGCACTTCTAATTTTAAAAAAAATTAGTCCTGACTACAACCAATGATTGCGAAAATAAAAGTCAGTAAACTATTTAGTGATAATTAATAAAATAAAAGCCAAAGCTTTTATTTCGCCTTACTTGGCTTTTTATATATATAATATTATAAATGTGTGTGTACTTTACATTAATTATAAGGACATATATATGTACTTTACATTTAATTATAATTTATTTGATATATATATACAATTACGTTTTTGTAGTATTACCGATTGCAATAAAAAGGGAGGTGCACATCTAGATGTTATAACGGAACATATACAAAATTTCAACGTTCTATAACTAACGTTTTTGAGTTATGCAAAATGCATACATACGTACTTACACATCACGAGAAAAATCCCTTTCAAGTATCAACTTAATCATTAGTCATAAGTATCAGCTTAGAGTAAATGGGATTACATTTAACAATAAGTTTTTTTGAAAAAAAAAAAAAAAAAGAGAGAGAGAGAGAGAGAAGTCCTTCATTGTGTTCGTACGTACAGGCGTCAGCCCAAAAAATAATTCACATGGATTCCGTAATCGTCAAAAACGGATATTTCCATTAAAATATGATACCAAAAGTTTTCTCGATTACAAATTACTACCATTTTCTTTGATACAAGGAAGTAAGAACCTATATTACCTACATATTCTTATATAAACAATACCTAAGTGCAGTATATAAATATTTAAATCATAAAATCTGACTATGGCACGCTCAAGGGGAAAAAAAAAAAAAAAAAAAAAAAAGAAAGAAGAATCATCTAAATTTTCAATTACAAACATAAATAGCAATAGTAAAAAGCAAATACAAATAACGCTTCACGCTATCAAATTGCTCATTTTCTTAAATATCAACAACTAAATAGTATTTCAACTAAACACATAATGTAAACAAAACTTGCCGATGCCCAAAAAAATTCAAATTATCTATGAAAAATATGAGCGCATTGTGACGCAACGACATCATTCGTATTCGCATAGAAACCGCATCATTCGTATTCGCATAAAAACCGCATCATTCGTATTCGTATAGCAACCGCATCATTCGTACTCGAACAAACCGCATCGTACCAACACCGACTCTACAGTTGATCGTACGACAGATGCGAGTAACGAAATGAATTTGTGAGTACCGAATCGGTACTTCGAGTCAAACGATGTACCCGTTACTCAGTAACGAATACATGCGGTTTGCTCCAGCTCTACAAATTATATATACAGCTTTGGTTCAAAGTATGAATTGTATTTAAATTTTTCTTCATTTAGCGTGTTTTCTCGTATAGTACTGACTTTTCCTTTCAACATAACTGATGTTGAAAATTAATCAGAAGTTTTTGTTATCACATGTTAAAAATCGGAAAATTACATTTGCTAGTAGATATCTTAGTTGCTTGTAAATGAATTACTTTTCTATAATTTCTGTTTTCGTTTTGTTATAGAACTGATGATACTTAATTACGGAACTGATGGACAAGTACAGAAAGTAACATATTGTGTAATTGTGGGAAAATTTAAGAAGCTGTGATGGTGTTAAGATTTCTTTTAAGGTGAGTGCAGACAAATTTTTCCTTGCACATTTTTTGTGTTGTAGAATTGCGTATATGAATGCATAAGTGGTAATTTTATTTAATGCATAATCCTTTCCCTTTCCTTCCAATGTTTAATCAGATATGGCAAAGCTTGATTAAAATTAGGCAAGAAAACGATCTTAGTTTGGTGTATATTTTGAATAAAACTATTGATTTCAAGGGCGATCAGACAGACGTGCCTCTTCAGAAGGGAAATAAAAATTGCCGACGAAATTGATAGTCACATTCAAATCCATGCCAATTTCAGGTTGATTTTTTGTGCTGATCTTTGGAATATGGTAACTGGTAGTTTGGCGACATTTTGGAGGCGATAAAGGTTACTACCTAGGACTTTGGTAATAATGTGAGAAGTACTCAGTTCCGATTACGATTATTTTGTGTGGGGAAATGAGAGATCATGAGATATGTCTGTGACATTAATGGACGAATTAAAGTTCTTTAATCGGGAAAGGGGGGGGAATTGGAAACTGTAGTACTATATTATTTTGTATTAAGCTTCATTGTATGTTGTGTGAAATAGTGGAAGTGTGCTTGCCACGTAATGAAGATTCTGAAGATTAGGTAAGTTAGTATTTTTGGAACTACTCTGATATGCGCCTTCTTTTGGGGAGAAACTTTACGCTGCCATATTACTATCTAAATTTTTTGTCTACATTTTGAACTTTTAGCCTAAAATGTTTGCAAAAAGTACGTTTTGAACACACAATTTAGCTAAAAATCTGAAACAAAAACAAAAAATTTAGATAGCAAAAACGTAAAGTTTCTAACCAAAAATATTTGACAAGAATCCATGTACACAGCGACATGTTTTAACTTAAAAAAACATCTACGAATGCACAAGTAGGCAACGAACGATCTACAAACTATGCACACCTCGCTTTAATAAATTAACATAACAATAATTTCAAAGAATACAATGTACACAGCATCCTGTTTAAACTTAAAAAAAATTCTACGAATGCACAATTTAGGCAAGGAAGGAATCTACGATTACGCACTCCTCGCTTTAATAAAATAATAACAACAATAAATTCAAATAATACCCATGTACACAGAGTTCTGTCTCAACTTTAAAAAAACATCTACGAATTGTACAGTCTAGACATAAACAACAAATAAACTAAAATAAATTCAAACAATTTAAAAAAAACAATAATGACAGTAATTCATACTAAAGAACCAATGAACGTAACATCTACAAAATAAGAACAAGGATAAAATAAAATGCACTTACCACGAATTAATCTTTTTCGAGCAGCAGAAATACCAATTTCATACCGCCACGCCGCCACGTAATCACTATCGTATTTACATGACAGTTAGACACACTATCCAGAAAATTCATACTATGGTTCACAAACAAAAAAAATCACAAATCCCTACTTCTGTCATGCACTAGCCATTAAAAATAATCTCCCAGACCTTCTTTCCACACCTTCCAAATACCCGCTACCCCTCAACAGGAGGGCCACAATAATATTTCCTTTTGCCGAACTTCAATTCAACACCTTCTACCATTTTATCTTTCCCTCCCATCTTCTCAGACACAGAGGCGAACCAACGAGCTCCAGCGAAAGATTTTTCAACGTCAACAGTTGCCATAGAAAACGCAATCGCGCCAAAAACCAACGCAGAACAATATTGCCACATTTGGTGAAATTAGGGCGTATATTAGAGGTACCGTATTTTTAATCATTTGAGGATATTATTTTTATGCATTTCTAAATGTAAGGAGTAAATAAATTAATATATATTATGGAAATGTTATTAGCAATGATTTAGTTTAAAGTAATTAGGATGTAATCTATCTTTATTAATTTAATGTATGCGTTTATTATATTTAAGTAGTTTTTAAATTTAATTATATTTTAATTAACGATCGTGATTTTGTGAGTTATAGTTTGTAGTATTTTGGAATACGTTTGAGAGAATAAGTTGAGTATGTTATGCATTTCGTGAATTTTTAATTATGAGAAAAAAGCAGTGTACAGGATATAGTGGAGTGGCGCAAAGCCTTTTTGTCAATCTGGGATGTTTTTTTAAGTAAAAATAAGTGATGCGTACATGGTTTAGTGAATTTTAATGATCGTGATTTTTGAGAGTTATATGTTTGTAGTATTTTGGAATACCTTTGAGTAGAAGTAAATGTGCATGGAAAGAATTTAAGTGTTGGCTAATCTTTGGAATATGGTAACAGGTAGTTTGGCGACATTTTGGTAAGGCGATAAAGGTTACTAGCTAGGACTTTAGCAGTGTACATGGATAAAGTCGAGTGTGCGCAATGCCATTTTTGTACAATTCTGGGATTTTTTTTAAGTGAAAATAGGTCGACGTGTACATGGATACCGTGTATGTGCAATTCTTAACAACGCGGCAAGCAGTTTGCGATTCTGCACTTTCTTCCAATTTCACACCTAATCTTCGTCGTGATTTAAGAACTTTTGTTCCATAAAAGTTCTAGCATAAGCGTAATTCGACTAGCAGATTGTTGGAAAAAATGTTAAGTAAAAGAAAAAAAAAGCCTTTACTTCATGAAAACAAAATGGCATCCAAACAAAAACTAGAAGGTTACTGTAAAAGGGTTGGTCGCCAAATTTTCGCCAAAAAATCGCCAAGTTGCCATAATTCCAAAGATAACACAGAGTTACATCAAATAAAAGTACAGATGTTATGAGCGTGTTGTTATGTCACGCTTATCCGTAACTGAGGCTAAACAAGCTGCGGTTAATCTTTGGATTATGGTAACTTGGCGATTTTTTGGTGAAACTTTGGCAACCAACCCTGCTACAGCAACCTGCTAGTTTTGTTTCGGATGCCATTTTGTTTTCACGAAGTAAAGGCTTTTTTTTTACTCAACATTTTCCAACAATTGCTAGCCGAATTACGCTTATACGAGAACTTTTATGGAACAAAAAAGCTTAATCATGACGAAGATAGGTGCGAAATTGGGAGAAAGTGCAGAATTGCAAACTGCTTGCGTTTTTAAGAATTGCACATACACAGTATCATCCATGTACACGTTGACCTATTTTCACTTAAAAAAACATTCCAGAATTGCACACTTTTGACTTTATCCATGTACACTACTAAAGTCCTAGCTAGTAACTTTTATCGCCTTACCAAAATGTCGCCAAACTAACTGTTACCATATTCCAAAGATTAGCCCAAGCTGCTTAGTGATAGTTTTACAGTTAATGGTATGAAACATAAGAAACAGTTTCTGTTAAATTTCCTGTACCCAGCATTTCACAGTACATTTAGCTGAAGTCTGTAATTATTGGCAAGCATAACGTCTATGTAAAAAGTTATAATAAAGTTCTTTGCTTTTCAGTTACTGATAATTAACAACAAAAAATTTGGTTGATCTTTGGATTATGGTAACTTGGCGATTTTTTGTTGAAAATTTGGCGACCAGCTCTGCTACAGCAACCCTCTATTTTTTTTTCCCTCCGCCATTTTGTCTTCACGAAGTAAAACGTATTCTTTTCTGGTCTTTACTGAACACTTTTCCAACAATCTACTACCAAATTACACTTATTCTAGAAATTTTATCTAACAAGCTGCTTAATCAGACAAATTCAATGCAAAATTGGGAAAAAATGCACAATCGCAAACTCCTTTCGCGTTTTTCACAAAACACATACACAAAACCATGTACACGGCGACGTATTTTACTTAAAAAAACATCCCGACTTGCAAAAAATGGCATTGGCAAAACACTCTTCACTAATCATGTACACTGCTTTTTCTCATAAATTAGAAAAATTCACGAAATGATGACAATTTTCTGAATCTTAAACCTTGTAAAAAGACATATAGAAAATTACCTTATCGAAAGTATAGCATTTCCAAACGCACCTGAAAATAATAAAACAAAAGACTTATTGATCATATTAAAACGTACACGTCATACTGCAACATTAAAATACCATTGGCAATATGTAAATTATTTTCATGCCGTGTACTGCAACGAAAATAGCAGCTTCAACACAATTCACAAAATAACGGCAGTATGTTCACTAAAACCATGTACACCGACTTAGAAAAAAAACATCCCAGAACACAAAGGCATGTTCACACTCTCACTAGCCTTACACGCTTTTCCATATTAGAAAAAATCACGAAAAGCATGAAAATACTCAACATATACTACTAAACATTCCAAATACGACAACATATAACTCACAAGTCACTCATTAATAAATATAATAAATTAAAAAACTGAAATAAATAGCACATACATTAAAAATAAAATTAGATACACTCCTAATTACTGAAACTAATCGTTGCTAATAACAATTTTCAAATAATACCCGGGAATTTAGGACACCTGAATTAGAACAAGCAAAATAGAGCCGCAACGAGTAAAAACTAACTTCCTAATCTCTTCAGAATCTGTACATCGCGAGTACTACTGCAATTCTAAATCCTAAACCAGTATAACTGGAAGTCTATTCACAAGTAATAAGAAATATAAAATTTCACCTTACTTCCGTACACGCCATTTCACAAAATGTCCATTTTCACCATATTCTTGCACCGGCCATTTAAACTTGGTATATCTCCCTCACACAATTCAACTTATATAATTATCAGATAACGCATTAAAAATTTAGAATTCACTTTCATAGCGCCATGCAATCCGAAATTAATCAACACTATTTCACAAACACACAATGAGCTTTTCCAAATTAACCCCTATCCGATAAAGAACTGTAATTGTCCATTATGACGTTTCACACACACAGAATATATATACTAAATTTCAGATTCCCCCCCCCGTTTTCCGATTAAAAACAACTCTAAGGCGTCCATTTTGTCACATGACATATCTCAGATCTCTATTCCTCACACAAAGAATGCTAATCCGAAACTGAGTGCTTCTCACATTATTACCAAAGTCCTAGGTAGTAACCTTTATCACCTCCAAAATGTCGCCAAACTACCAGTTACCATATTCCAAAGATCAGCCAAAAAGTTGGACATAGTTGTGGGAGTCATTTTTTGAGATGACATGTGTTGATAATCATGTGGTGGTAAAATCAAAGAATAGATAAGGATTTTCCATGTTGGTATCAGGGATTGATTATTTGTGGGCAGCGTAAATTATTCATGTGTAAAATCAGTGATGTTTTAGTTCTAGATGTATACCAAGCAAAATGTTGGCTACGGAGCCAAATTATTCATTATTAAGATTTTGTTAATAAATGGAGGTCCAGATTTTAGATCATTCTGGGTATTAGATATCCAGATTTCAGACTTTGTACTGTATTAAATATGCAAACATTATGAATTATGATTTTAATCATATATTCAGTGAAGACACAATAGTTATAATTTGTAACAGCACTTTTTTTTTAATCATGTGATCTGCCATCTGTATTTGTTAACCTGGGAAAAAATTTTTTTCTGTTCCATAAATATGATGAAATAGAACAATTTGATAATTTATTAAATATTACTAGATCTCCTGGTGGCCTCTTACATTCACCACCTCTGGTTTGATAGCCCAACCTCATTACTCACTAAAGCTGAGATGCAAAACTTACTGAATTTTTAATTGTGTTGATGGTAGAGACAATATCTGTGTAGTATTCAGTGGAACATCTACCTAGTTCGTGCAGTATGGTTTACATTTACTATGGAATACTTGAAGGAATATGCAATAGTAGAAGGTATATTTCAGGAAATTAAATAGCTTAGCAGAATTGTTCTTAAATTTCTTTGTTTGGAACTAGTATTTATAGTTTTATAGTTGAAGTTAAGCTGACAGCAGAGTCAAAATTCTATCATCGGGAGCACCTCAGGAGCTTAGAATGTGAATCAGTAAATATGAAATGAAGGGGGGGGAACTATTCAAGCTGCAAGGTCTTTTAATGTTTGACATGTTTTAGCTTTTTCACTTTTTAATGTTTTAGCATTTATGAGTGAAATTTTTTAAGGAGCTGTCATAAATTGAAATTTTGCCAGCAGAAGAAATTGGATGATATTAGAGATATATATCAGGAAATGATATATATATAATATTATATTTAATCATACAGTGCTTAAATGTTAATGTTATGTTTATCAAATATTATAACTTAAATTATTCTTACTGTAAATTAATTTTTTTTCGTAACTTGGTGTGTAGCTTACATTACATTAACATAAATAAATTCTGTTTTCAGATATCTCATGCACAATGAAAAGTTGATCCAGACGGTATGTTTCTTACTATTCTAACTCTCTTTGTAAAGTATATATTTAATTACAGTTTAACCCCACTATAGCAAACTTGAAGGAACCGAAAATCTAGCTTTCTATATACGATATGAAAAAAAAAAAAAAAAAAAAAAGGGCTCAACTCACAAAATGGTGTAAAGACTGATGAATCACACGAAAAGATATCGCATCTCCCAAAAGTAGTTAATAATAATGCTAATTTAAAAAATCATATTAAGAGTTAATGACAATTATTATTACTTGCAATTATTAAATTTCTTTTTCATTGTTTCACCATACATTGATAATTTTACACAATAGATTATTTAGAAAATAAAAGTCATGATTTAAAAAAATCCTTCTGATTACATGTTTCCGTCTAAAATATCCATCTATTATTATGAATGGTTATTTTATCCATAAAAATATAAAAACACTAGAAATGAATAAAAATATGAATTTTCTTTTAATTGTTTCTTAACTTAATGATCTTTAATTTTATGCTGTGTTATGCATTATGCAAAAATTCTATCTTTTTATCCTAAAAATGAAGACTTTATCTTTTTTGGTTCAACATTTTGTACGAATGGAAATTTATTATTCGCATATATCACGACTGCAGCAGGTAGGTGGCTCACTTTCTATATGTTGTATTTCTTGAGCATTTCATCTGCATCATCAACATCAGCATTTCTCATTTTCTGTCATAAACTCATCATAGTTCATCTTCACATGCAGCAGTAACATTATCACATTTTTTTTTTTTTTTTTTAAGCTGAGTATCGCATTTCTGAAAATAGCAAAATGTTATTTGTTCCCCCCTCGCAATTGTTCATATTACATCTAACAACAACATGTCAGGTGTTGTTATCACATATAACAACACTTTTATCTTATTGTGGTTGTAGTGCAATTATCACATGTATTAACATGTGAGGCTAGAAGAAGCTTTTCTGAGAAAGCTTGTCCATCACCTGCCATTGGAGGTCTCCTAGCTAAAACATGTTTCATTGAAAGCTCTATCTCATGTAGCTACATGGAATTTTTAGAAACTGGTTTTGTCTGAAGCAAAGTTCCATGTGTGATTTCTCCAAAGAACTGGTTTTCCCCTAAATCAGCCAATCAGATATCCTGAAAAAAAGTTTTCTGGGAAATGTTTCTTTTGACATGCTGTTGGGGGTAGGGATGTGATACTGGTTTTATCATTAAGCAAATCCTTGTTTCTGATCACCTGCCTTTAACTGAGCAGTAAAAGTTCTGAACTGTGGTAGTTTAGCCTGGGTGGAAGTCTGGGCTAATGGGCTGGCTGCATGGTTTTTTTATGGTTTTCTCCTTGCAGAACATGAAATGAGCCATTTGCCCTCAAAGTCCTCTATGTATGCATTCCTTCTGTTAGGCAGGCAGCTTTGTGTACTTTGCCATCATAAAATAAACCAATCTTATTTTCATCATTTCCCTCTTCAACACTCTGCTAGACCACCATACTGAAAACAATATCTGATGTCTGATTATATAACAAGTTTAAAAGTCTGTTCTAGTAAATTACGTACATCATTAAGAAGTGAAATGTTATACTCTACTTGACTGTGATACTTCAACATAATACTTAAAACAAGCTGCTTTCTGTAATCACACATCTGGCTCCTGTTTCTGTCTTAATCTATAGGCTCAAGATTGAAGTTAACATTTGAGGACAAGAGAAAGTTTTAATCCATTCTAAATTTTTAGTATCTGTATGTGTAATACAGTTTTCAAGAGCAGAAGAATCTTTTGCTTTCGGGCTGAAAATACATTTCAGTTTTGTAGTTCTTCAAGCAGTTCCAATGTCCATCCATAAGTTACAATTAGCTTTACAGTGAAAGCAAGAATTTTCAGTTTTAAAGCATCTTGGTATTTTGAAATTTTTCTATTACCGAAAGCCTAAGGTTCTGTTACCAAAATCGTAAGGTGCTCAGTCGCTGAGACATTATAAGACATTAGTTTTTTTTTTTTTTTTTTCTGCAAGCTAGTAGCAAGAAATATCATCTGTACTCTTGCCGTGATTTCGATCTTTGGAGTCTAGCCAGATGTGCTGCTACTTACACTGCAAAGGCACACAGTAAGGAAGGTGAAAATTCTCTGTATTCTCTCCCACTTAAAGAGGTATTAGAGAAAGAGACACCTAAATGCCAAATTCAGGTGGTGACGAATTATTGTTCACAAATGTTTAGTCGGGCATCACTTATAGAGCTATATATAAGTTTTTAAACCAAAAACTAACAAAATCAGCTATGGTTTCTCGGGGATTCAAAATTTGGATTTTCCTTTTGCTAGCTGAATATGTTACCACTCATACCACAAAGGCTTACAGTAAGAAGCACAAATATTCTTTATACAGTGTCATTCATTTTGGTACATATTGGAACTGTGATTTGCAATTTTGACAATTTTTCACCAGTGCATCTTTTGATCATTAACCTCTAGTTTAGCATCATGTTCTAGAACAGCCAGTTTCATTGAGAAAATGTGTTTTTCTTTACACTGGTGAAAGATATCCCAAATATATTTCCCCCATTTCTCAATATATAATTTTGAAATGCTCCAGTGTTCTCCTTGATTTTGCCTGAAGAAACACTGGTCTGCTTCTTGGACCTGCCTAATCAGCCATTTGAGCATATAAATTCAGTTTCTACAAAGTGTTTCACAGATTCATTGGCCTTTAATAGAAATATTTATACACATATTGTCAGATTGTGGCTTCTTTGAATAAAGAATCATTTCTGCAATTCTTTTTTCAACATCCTCATCTTTGACCTTTCATACCCTTTTCCTCATATCCAAATTTTTTATGATTGAGGAGTGATTTTTCCATATGGTATATAATTACCATATGAGGTTAATGATCATATGGTATATATATAATTATCATATGATACCATATGTCATATGGTATATATCATCATATATATCATATGGAATCATAAGAAATTTCATCACTAACCTTTTCTATCCAGTGTCCAATGGACACATATTAATTATATCCAAGATATGTATATTTGCAAGATTCTTCAAAGAATCTTGCAAAGAATCTAAAAAAATGTGAAATCCCCCCCCCATGCAGAAGACAGAACTGGGACAGCATTTTAAATGCTGAGTAAAAGAAGTAAATAAGGATTAAAAAAAATTACATTTCCCAAAAGATGAATCATCTGTGTATTCTCATGCTTGTAAGATGACTACTATACCTGAATAGCAAAAATTTCAAGACTTCCGTCCTAGCATCATCCTTGCACAGAGCGTGGTCTGGCAACTTGTTCAAAGAACTTGAATGAAATTTAAGGAAATAAGAGAAAAATTCAGGTTCAATTCAGTGCTTGATACAATAGGATTTACTAAGGATTGCTTACTGTATGTCCTGGTTTTTGCAAGAATTGTGTTTACACCTGCGTTCATAGCCCCTTTAGCCTCTCTTTAGACTGCAGAGGAAGGTGGGGGTGAAGATAAAAGCAGAGTAACGTGAAGGTCCTTTTCATTATTCTAAAAGCCTAATCATGGATTAATGTAAGGGTTGATGTTTTTCATATGAAGGTTTAAATTCTGGAAAACTCTTCAAAAATAAAAGTTTAGTCAGAAATATCCACAAATTTCCATTATATCTGATTTTTTATACATTTGGAAGAATTATAGCCATATAAAGCAAGATAAATATATTAATTATAAATAATATATTAAGTTTAGGAATTTGGACAAATTGTAAAAGTTTATTCATTATAAACTGGGTTTGCTATAGGAGGGTTTGACTATATTGTGTTATTTTAATGTAGTCTAAAGAATTTTTATTTTGTAATTGACTCTTGCTCTTTTTGTATTTATTTAAATTTAATTTTTTATGTGTCATTATTTTATTTAGTTGGCAGATTCTTATCCTATGAGAAAAGCTGCTCGCTTTGCTGCAAGGATCATTGTGCAAGCTAAACATTACCGTATGTAATATATTTGCTAAATTTTGTATTTAACAAGGGAGGTTTTTCATCCTAAATTGTTAAATTTTCTATAAAAGTTGGCAGTGGTCTGGCTGCTCTAAAGTTATAGGATCATAAAAAATTAGTTGCTAAATTACTTAAGAGAAAGTTTAAAAATGTGTAAACTTATAATAATAGGGGGACCGGAAAGTAATGTCGTTTCTGCGCATGTTGACAACAACATGCTAAGGGCAGAAGTGGAAGCAAATCCATGTCAAACACTCTTAACCAATGGTCGACCACTCTTAACCTTGGATGGTCGACCACTCTTAACCTTGGTCGACCATCCAAGAACATTTAAAGCAGAAAGGAAAAATAAGCATAGCAAGTGACATTATGTGTTTTCCCATTTAAGCATACTACTCATTGCATTTTTTTAATTTTTGTAAATAATAATAGGAATAATTCCTTTCCCTTTCAACATTAAGTTATAGCTTTTAAATGTAGAAGAGTTCATGAACAACAAGAAATTAATGCTATATAATTTAATTAAGTGATAGTTGAGTTTTACATGAAGTATCAGTGATGATGCTGATGGAAATTAACTAATTTTGGATGAGGAAAGCTTAACATGGTGTGATGAAATTATTGATAGTTCAAAACTGAACAATGAAAATTTGAAGGGCATCCAGACTCTAAACTACATTTCATTGGCAAGGTCATCAGCAGTTCATTATAAAGTATTTTTCAATAATATGAAGTGTGGAAACAAAAGAACATGAGGATATTGCAAAAGTATTGGTTTTTTATGCATTGTATGGTAATGGGAATGGTAAAATTGTCGAGAGTTAGGGATTACTAGTCTAAAACTTCTATTCTAGAAAATTAAATAGATAAAATGGTTAGATTTTTTTTAAAAAAATCCTTCAGTATTTTTATGTGCTTAATAGCAGCTTTGGTCCAGCATTTCTCCAACATCAGTATTCCTTCCTGGAAGTGAGAGTCTGGAAGGTTGTGAAAATATTCATCTACGACCCTCTCAACAGCTTCATTGGATGTGAAGCACTTCTCGGTAAAAAATTTCTTCAAGTTTGGAAACAGATGGAAGTCTGAGGGTGCCAAATCCGGAGAATAGGGGGGGGATGGTGAGCAAATCATATCCCAAATCCCACAGTTTTCCCATTGCCAGTGCACCCTAGTGCACATGTGTGTTGTTCTGGTGAAAGGAGATTTTTTTTCTTCTTCAAGATAGGCCTTTTCTTGCTAATTTTAGCATCCAGCTAGTCAAGAAGGTTGGCGTAATATTCCCCTGTAATTGATCTCTCTTTTGCAAGGTAATAAATAGTATCCCTTTCGCATCTCAAAACACACTGGCGATGGGCCTTTCCAGCAGATCTTCACTTACTTTGGTGCTGAACCACCGGCTTCCATCCACTGCTTGGACTTTTGTTTCGTTTCTGGCGTGTAGTGATGAACCCGTCTCTTACCCATAGTGACAAATCGCTGCACAAAATCGGTAGGATCCCTGTTGAATCAATCCAAAGATTGTTGTGAAAATTGTTTGTGCATTTGCTTTTGATTAGCATTTAGCAAATGCAGCACCCATCTTGCACACAGCTTTCGCATCCCTAATTATTTATGAAAGATGTTTAGCAGCCCTTCTTTCATTATCCCCACAGCTTCAGCTATCTCACACACCTTCACTCACCTATCGTCCAGCACCATATCACACACTTTTTCAATGGTTTTCTGTGTGGTTGCGGTTTTCGGCTGTCCTTCATGTGGGTCATCTTTGAGGGATATGTGACCACATTTAAATTCAGCTGCCCACTTTTTAATAGTTGACATTTAAGAAGCAAAGTCCCCATAAACTTTTGTCAACTTTGGATGAATTTAATCTATCCAAAACGAAGAATTTTATGACTTTGAGGAATTTTATGACAAGTTTATCCATTTTAATGAATAACATACAAGATGTCTACTGCGAAAATTCGTGTAAACAAATTACTTCAGAGAACAAGCTGAAACTTGTCATACTAGCTAATGATACCTGCACCCAGGCAGAAAACATAAATTTTTGCTGATTGGAGCACCATCTCTTGGTCAAGCTGAGAACTTTTCACCTAACCCTCGTATTATTATTAATCTTACCAAATTCTAATTTTAGTAAATGATAACATTTCTGTTTTCTCAACTGTACGTTTATCACTCAGCCAGTGGATGTCAGAATTCTGCATACTCTGAAATACAGATAGATGTAAGTAGCGTTTTAAAAACTGATATAGTACTAAGACCATTCAAGCATTCTAGAAATATTTTAATATAAAATCTGATGTGTGGGTCTTTACAAAATCACGAGAGGATGTGTCTGTAGGTATTTTTTAAAATGCTTGGCATAACTTATAGCCAGCTACCAAATTTAATAATGGTGGTGATGATGATTAGAACCATGAATCTGGAGGTTTTTGGATGCCACAAGAAAAAGCAAAATTTTTTTAGTAATTGAATACGAGAAGAAAAGCTAAATGGAGATGATTTAATTAAAGTTTTACATTGTGATGAGAATGACCATCATTGATCAGTTAACAGAAAAGCAGATATCTGTAATATGATTATAATTCAGAAAATATCGCTGTTTTTGCTTCGAATCATGTTTTAATTTCATGTGGTGGTAATTGAGAAAAAATCTCTACACAAGACATCACTTCCTTAAAAAAAATAGTAATGAAGAATGCTTTTAATCTTAAGATTTCTACATGTCATCGTACTAGATTTAAATTGATGATCTAAAATCTGTAAATTTCCAAAATCCTGAATCACTGAAGTCCTATCAATTGTAGATCTTGGACATTATTTATTTTCAAAGCTTGTAAGCATTTCCACTTTCATATGTGCTTCATGTAAACTGGGTTAGTTCTGCTTTGTTTTAGAAAATAGGCTTAGGTATTTTTCGCAAATCGTCTGTCAGTAATTCTTTATTTCTTATAACAGAATTTTGTTTTTATTGCAGTTCCAATTGCTTTTGCTAACATACTTTTGTAAGTTATGATAATGCAAACAATCTTCAGTCTTATAGTTGCACTGGATGGATGTTAAGTGAGTTACTTCTCTATGTCAGGCAGTGGGATGCGAGTTGTTAAAAACAAAACAACAACAAAAAAAGAATGAGCCTTAATTTTTTGCTGCTAGTACATTAAAAGAGATACCTGTAGGTGTATGAACTACAATGCATAACAGCATATTAAATAACGTAAGTTTACTGAGCTAATTCTCCACAATTTTTAGTTTGTGTAACTATATACAGTACAACTCCAATTATCGGAACTCTGACTATCTGAATAGCTTTCAGAATTTAAGGAAAAAATTAAGATGGAAACGCAGTGTTTGACAATCAACGATTTCACACATGAAAAGGAGCAAACCTAGACATTTAAACTTTGTGTTACTGCTTGAAACGAAGTTCTTCAAGAAATCAATGAAAGCAGCAATAAGCAAAAATTCAGAAGATGTCGTTTTTAAGTGGGTTTTGGAGCAACGTGTTATGGAAACCCAATCTCAGGTCCAATTCTTTGTGAAAAAGCTAAGATCTTAGCACAGAAGCTTGGTTGTTCATCCTTTTAAGACAAGTAATGGCTGGCTAAGAAATTTGAAGTGCAAGCACAGTGTCTGTCAAACAGCTTACTTTAACTGAGATGTTCAGCAAACTATGACTTTCAGCACTTGTAAGTACTGTAGAGTATACTATATAGCATCTACATAAAAATGTTACCTTTTCATTTTAATTAATTAAAACCTCTTTTTTAAAAAATAGTTTTTTCCTCCCGTTTTCAACATACAGTACACACAGTGATTAATTAAAGTGTGCATAGACATCCAATTATCCGAATTTTTGATTATCCAAATGGGGTTTGGTCCCTATTGATTCGGATAATTGGAGTTCTACTGTACCACAGTTTTTTGGTACGAATTTACCAGCTGCATAGGTTATCAAATGGGAACTTACAAATTAAAATTTTCATCAGCTATTGTGGTGGTAAAAATGTTTTTCAGCCTCTTTTGGCATGATCTTTTAGTCTGAGATTTAGAAAGAAAGCAAATTCATCACAGCTGAAAGCTTTATGCATTACGTGAATTATCTTGCCTTTGTGTCATTTAATAAAGTGCTAACCTCTAAAAATGTTTACATTTTTAAAAAACTTTGAAAATAGAGGTTTGTAAAATCATATTGTTTAACATTTTGTAGAATATTTTTGTTGTTTCAAATAAAAGTGTTCCATGCCAGTTTTTCAGATTCAGATAAGACTGATGTCGGTATAAACTTGAATTTACATCGACATCAGTAATTCAGATTAAAATTTGGTAATTCATAATGACAATTGAATTCAAAGTTAGAATCATATTGGCATGTTTCTTTTCCATTTATTGTCTTTTAAAAGTTTATATTTTCTGAAAGTGGTAGATTTCTTTGATTTTATTTCTATTGCATGCTTGTATATTGCTTTTTAAAGAAAATGTAATAGAAATGCATTTATACTTTAGAAGAAAGAGCCTTAGAGAATATGAAACCAAGTACTGGTGGAGATGCTGTTAAAAAACCTCAGGATCTCACAATGTTAATAAATGAGAAACTCCAGGTAGAGAATATTTTATTTCTCTAAATGTGATATTTGCATAAGTTAACATAAAAACTCATATTGATCATAATCTTATAGGGTAATTTTATGACTGGTAATGTATATATTATATACATATTATGGCCTTAAGCAGCATTTATAAATAACACAAAGTAGTAGGATTATTATATCTAGATTAAAATATAGCGCTAAGGCTCATATTGCTATTAAATCCTTAATTTGTTAATTTGAAATGTGGGTCTGTAGTTCTATGTGCATTGAAATATGTGCTATTTAAAATAAAAGTAGCTGACAGTTTTCTTGCTGCTCTTTATGTAACAAACTTATTATTCTAGTCACTTGTTGGGAAAAGTAATGTTAAGAATGATATATATTTCCTTATGTGTTTTCTCCATTTCAAAAGCAATTTCAATTTCTGTTACTGCTTGTAAATCTTTCTGGAGGCAAACATAAATTAGAATGCAAGGAAATAATTTAAACTGTTGGCTAATTAATTTCTTCTGTAGTAGCATGCCAAGGAGTGCATAAGTATGTGCTTCTACTCAGCACATACTAAGCACTACCCCTTAATGGGATGGCAAATTCCATATTTGTCTGGAAATTAATTTGACTGTAATATTTTGTTGCTTTCTTCCACGATTAAATTCTGATGAGACATTCCTTCTACTTATTCAAGACATAACAGGACCTTCAACCGGAAGATCAATGAGTAAAAGATGATTTTGAAATGAAAAATTAGTATACGAGTCTGCTTTTTTGTACTGCTTTGAGATGTCATTTCTCTTGCCTGCAATATGAATTCATATGTCATGAAATGCTAATCACATGCCTATTTCTGCATGGCCTACCTTTTATGCAGTTTTAAGCTTGTTGTATGCTTTCTTCCTGGTTTTGCAATTTTAATGCCCAGTAATATATTTCTTAATGTGCTCATGTTATGTCATAGTAATGTAGATTATTTTTATTAGTTTACTTTTATTTGTACTTGAAAACATATATAAATATAAAAGACTGAAATTCGAAGTAAAAGCTAGATTTATTATTTGGTGTAATATATAAATATATGTACTTATATTATGAAGTAAAATAATAATCAAGTCTAGAGGGCAGAAAGCGAGAAAAAAGAACAAGCTTCTGTACATAATGTTGGATAATCTCATGGAACCATATGTGATATACTTATAGAACCATAATAAGTCATTTTTTGCTGTTCTTACCATGTCACAGCTTAACATTAATTATATTAATGCAATTTCCTGCTGTGGGTAGCCCAAATTATCTCAGTTAGGTTTGAATTGGGATAATTCCCTCCCTATCACATCAAGCATTGTATGCCTCATATATAGGACTAATCTCAACCTATTATATTCACAAATTGAAAGTCATGTCCATAATTATAATGTTAATATGAAGCTTAACATACTATATAGTGTGTCAGTCAATAAGAGCAGAAATCCTTCTCACACTGTAACAAAAAATAGTTGTCTCAAAATGTGATGCCAGTTGGGTTTGAGAATTGATCGTATACTGTTGGAAGAAGTTTGCTCTCTTAAGATTTTGTCATTAACAGAGGTATCAATAGTTCATTCATACTATGTTGTCTTCTGCTTTGATGGTAGGTTCAGCATCTCATGTCATCTGGCCTGTAGGAAATTTTATTAGTGAGATTGTATGGTGGAAACTTTTCACCTTTTTTTTTCATACTTTTAGCCATGATCCACATATGCTAAATTGCAACTTCTCTGATTGTCATAGTCTTCATTTATCTAGTATCCATCATGCAGGTCTCTTAGCCCACTGTAGAGTCAACCAGATTTCATTGATGATTTTTCTCATTTTTTATTCATTTTTCCAAATGCTGAGATTCAATATAATATTTAAAGTGCTGGAGATTTTGCAGATATTCCAGAGTATGAATTCTACTAGATGTTTCTTATGCTAGTTACTGAAATTTTCAGCTCTCTGAACATGACAGTTGCCATCCTGAAACACTGGGCAAAGAAATGTTATATTCCTGAATGTGATGAGAGCAAAAGGCAGTATCCGGGAATCCAGAATCGTGGTTCAAATGGACTGTAATTTCAACCCAAGAACCTATTTCTTGCAATGTAAACTTGCCTAGAATGTAAGGAGATCCTTCCAGCTTGAATTGCAGCTTACATGAGCTCCTGTATTGAAGGCAAGGCTTCATGGAATCTACAATGAACAAATGCATAGCATCATTCTCTTATTGTCAGAAAGAAATATTTTCATCCGAGATAGCAGTTTCCAGTCGTCAGCAATCCAATGTTTGGTTAACCATATGAGTTTGTTAGCAAAAGTAACTGAAGGTCTCTATCATGTTACTTTGCCTGTGTGTTCATGTTATGCAGTTCTATGCTGAGTGTTTCTTCAGAAATGGGTTTAAAAAAGAATGACTTGCAGTTTAACTTTGAAGTTTTAACTTTGAAGTAAATTTTCATTCTGTATAACACATTAGTAGTCTCTTTCTTTAGTTTAGTCTTTCAACTACTATCCTGATGGGAGTACATAGACTAGGATTGTTTCCACTGCTTATGACTGTATGCTTTGATGCATGGACAGATTTAACTACTTCAATCACACTAACCACATGAAAATGCAGTTGCCTGTTTTTGCTAATCACATTTCACCTTATAACCCAGTTTTTATAATTAGAAGGCAAAATATTTACCACACTACTTCATCTCTTTCCAATCTATGAATCCCATAGTACTTATCCATAGAATCCCATAGTAGTGCAGATATTTATAGGCACACCATTTTCATGTGTCTGTGATAGCTTGAAGTTACTGAAAACTTACTTGTGCAAGGTGTCCCAGTTTTGTCTGGCAAGCTCATTTCTTCTTAATGCTATTTTTGATTACATAAATGAAGGTAAAATAACTTTATTAATAAAAATGATTTTGTCTTTTTTTTTTCTCTTGCAGAAATTAAAAAAATTACTTGAGAAACGAAGACCCTAAAGATGAAATATTCTGTATGTTAATCTCATGTATGTATAGCAGTATGATGTACTTGAGCATGAGATTCGAGTTTGTAAGTTCGAATAAAGTATGAGTGTAAATTCAAATAAAGTATTTATCAATTTTTTGTAACTTTGCTAAATTTTGTTTTTCTGTGTGACATTGTAGTCATAAATGTGCCCAGATTCAAAAGATTAGTTAGTTATTTAGATTATTATATGAATTGCAAAATTTTCTAATGCTTTATGATGCATTTTTTTTTTATTCATTCTTGTGATTCCTGCATTAGGGTTGAAACTTAACACCAGTAGCTGCTTGTTAGGAAGTAAATGAAGATAGCTGAAGATTATCAGTTTTTAATGTAAAATATTACTGTCTTGTGCTTCCAGAGACATTTACATTAGAAGTTAGCTGTATAAAGCTATACTTTCAGGTTAGCTATATGGTGGAATACTTTGCTGTTTTGACAAACTTATTAAAAATTCTGGATGAGTATTAAAACCTTTTTGTACGTAGATAAAAAATTCTAAAAAACTAAATATACATTAGCCTGAAATATAAGTATCTAATGCAGCCTTCCTGTATGAAGCATAATATATTTGAAATTTCATAAATATTTTAGTCAATTGCTGAGTTGTTAAATGTTTAAATGTCTAGATTTTTTCTCGATGGCTGCATGGAGTGTTCAGTTCCCTGAAATTCCTGCAATTTTTTTTGTCTTGGTCTTGCAAAAAGGTTGAAGTTTAATGTTATCTTGGTGCATGAGTGCACACATTCTGTTCCATAGTATTGTGTTTTTATATTTCAGAGCAGCATACATCTGTTACAGCTGTTCAAAGCATATGAAATAGTATGATTGGAACATTTGGTGGATTAACATGAAATTCCACCAAAATATCACCTTTTATTCAGAGATCACTTGTTTGCAAATCGGTTCAAGAAGTTCGTAAGTATTCAGCCATTACTTTTGTGCGTTAGGATTATGGAAATACATACATATCTCTTTCAAAATAACCACTTTCTTGATGAATTAAATATCACCTGTGTTTTTTATGGGGCTCTTACCCATTTGACTTTTTGGTGTACCTGATGTCAATTCATTGAGTACGATGCATCAGCTTCTGTTGATCTTCTCAAGGTCTGTGCTTAGGGCACCAAGGAAACAGGCACCATAAAAAGGTGCTTGGGACTTGGAGGAAATGGGAGATCAAAAATTTTTCCATAACTGGTTTTGTATGTGTTAAACAAGGTAATGTATGGTAATGTATAGTGTTAAACAAGATTGACTGTGAAGCAGTGGTGGTGGTGGAGTCAGTTCCATATGTTGACTACCTCCACTGTGCATGAAGTTCAGATTTTTCAGCTGAAGATAGACTGTTTTTCTCAGCATTGTGGAGTAGTGTAAACTGTGCCAAATGTCTGGTAGCTGAGATAAACTGGTGTGAAGGCCCTTTAAAATTTTAATCTGCCACTGGACAAATCACATACACTCTCTGATATGCCCTGCTTCTTTAATTATTTCTGAATGCTGGTGGTCGTGCATGAAGACTGTAGATGCAATTTGATGTGGTAGATGCAATTTGAGTGCATCACTGTCATGTGAAAGAAAACAAGGATCAGAGCACAATTTCCCATTGCCATTCAGCATTTTACAACATCAGTAATAACATTACCACAAATGTCCTATGAATATGGATGAAGACACAATGTAAATTGCCATTTCTGAGACCAGTATTAGAAGCAGCATCCAACACCTTCAAAGAGGTACAAAAGCTTACAGCAGCTCACACTCTAGAATGTCATAGCTCTGATATTTAGGCAGAACCAAGGTGACCACTATTGATACGTTTGTATTAGACATAGTACTCTTCATAAATTTTTAATGTTATAATAAATTTTCCTTCAGATCTAGTACTTTCAAGCAGAGCTTAAACAGTGCTAGAGCTCTGCTCCTGTTCTAAATTTGTTAGGTAAATTGTAATTCTAGCTGAAGCCCCGAATAAGAAAGCTTTGGCATTTCTTTTATGTAACAACACAGTTTCAGCTGGGAGTTCTTTTGATCTCAAACATTTTAATAAAAATCAATTCTAACTTCATAATGCATGCCTCAAATTGCCTTGGAAATAAATTCTTTGATGAAGGTTGGGATTTAAGGCAAGAAAAGCCCTAACCCACACGTTAAAGGCTTATTCTCCAAGAATTTATGACAGTAGTTAAATTCTTCTAACTTCATAATGCATGCCTCAGATTGCCTTGGAAATAAATCCTTTGATGAAGGTTGGGATTTAAGGCAAGAAAAGCCCTAACCCACACGTTAAAGGCTTATTCTCCAAGAATTTATGACAGTGGTTAAATTTTTCGTTCCTGAAAGTACTACAAGTTATTAAGTTGTACCACAGTTAAATGCAATCTAAGTTATTAGCATATCCAACCCTAGTGACTTTGTATGGAAATGAGCACTTGTAGACTTTTGGGAACAATGCAGTCAAATAAGAAGACAATTCTCTCCTGTAACAAAACCTCAGTTTATATTCAGCTTACATATCATGACTTGTATTTGGAGAAATTTTTTCCTATCACATTCTGCTGGAAAACTAGAATTATACAGGCAGGTAATCATGGTTAGAAAGTGTTCTACTCTTCTCATTTTATTTTCATGCCTACACATCTCTTTTAAAATTTTCTTACATAATATTATACTGTTCCAAGCATTCTGTATATTCTCATTAGTGGCACTTAAACTGCTTTAACTTTTTTCATTGGTGTGCAGATTGGTCTCTGTTTTTAACATCCATAAAATTCAGTATTGTACATTAAATTGCTTAAATTCAGCTAGAGTTTCAATATTCAAGGCTTAAATTCAGCTAGAGCTCTGCTGAGCTTATATCTTAGTTTTGAGTGAAATTGAAATTACAAATCCCTAAATCAGGTTTCCTTAAACTTTTTTCAGTTGTGACCCCCTTTTTATCATTGAGATTCTTTCGTGACCCCCTGGACCCCATAATATTACTTTTGTGGGCCTCTATAAGTATTGCGCAAATCCGACACACGCATGTGTGAAACTGTCAACAATTTCACTTGTGCTGTAATATACTATTGCAGTTTAAGGTCATTAACTTTAATTTCTAATATTAAGACATCGTAAAGAATGCATTGAAACGTTTTCCTTTTTTCTTTGTCTGTATTGTCTTATCTCTATTTTCAGGTACTTTGTGTAAAAATATTTGTTAATTGTAAAATTATTATAATAAGTTAAAGAACTATCAAAACTGCTAAATTTTTTGGCGACCCCCTGCTGCAGGTCCCCCAAACCACAGTTTAAGAAACGCTGCCCTAAATCAAACAAGTTTTTTTAATGTATTAATTTTTATCTATTTCTTAACATTTTATTGAATTGAATTTAATTTATTTTTATTTCTCTTTCCTGATGGCCTTCCATAGGACTAAATATTGCTTCTGAGGGATAATATGCAATAGTTAGACATACAACTTTATATCTCACTATGAATGCAACAGAAGGAATGCATATCTGACTAGCCAAAAATTAGTTTTAAGTGTATTACAAACTCTCTCCATTGGGGAGCATTTAATTTTGTAAGCTTCACCTTCTAAAAGTAGTAAATATAAATATAGATTACTTCTTTTAGTTGAATATTGTAATAATCCATAGTAATTTCATCAACAGGAAATGAAAATCATCATAAAATATTTTAATGAAATCTTAACACTTCACAAATAACTTCGCATGAAAAGATAAATCCTGTCGACCCTGTTCAATTTTCTATATCTAAAAATGTATATCTGACCGAGAGAGCCGAAATGTGTTTTGAAATGAGTTTAGATGTGAATGTTCGAAAGTTGGCCATCCGGATACGTGCTGCCATCTAGTGGTTTTCCGAAGAGAGAAAAACTATAAAATGGCAAATTGAATCATGAAATTTCAGGGCCTGACCTTTGAGCTAACATTTTCCAGAAAAATTCGTGGTCTACGATTTTCAGAAAAAATGTTTGCGAAACATTCGTGGCGATTGCCTTAATGGTTTCGCGTCCAAAGATGTACACTGCGCCCCCCCCCGAAAAAAGGTGACATTTTTGTATCTCCTATTCTAGTAGGCCGATTGACGAAATTCAAATTGCGTTTCTCATGTCTCGAAAGCGCAACTCAGGATATATATTAGATTTATATATAGCATTGTTTTAATATAGGTATTTATCGAATCGGACTTTATCTGAAATGACATGCCAATATTTTTCCATATTTCGATTCTACGACTCAAATTATGCCAAACTGCCAAGTTTTGTAAAAATTGCACGAGTAGTTTTTAAAAAATTAGCTTTCAAAATTTTAGCTCCTCAATGTCAATTGAGTTTGGTGTATATTTATTAATATTTTTTTAAAATTAAACTCATTTAATTCTTACTTTTACATTTCAAAATTTAGGTTCATTCCAAATAACAATCGCCCATTTTTATGACTTACTTTTTAAATTTGTATTTCTAAATAATTTTTATAAATTTTTCGATAAAAATTTTGATTTATAATCTATAAAATTTTTACCATAATCTTAAAATAGATGTATTTCTAAGCATACCTGCAAAAAATTATAGAGTTTTTTTATTCAAAATTTCCGAAGATATACGTGAATTTATATATTGGCTCGTTTTGAAACTTGCCATATTTGTTGAAAGCGATAATAATATCAAATGTGGTTTAGACACTTTTGTTAAACTTATTTCAAAGTAGGAACGAAGTGACTTTTTTTCCTGTCATCCACAATGTAAAAAGGTAAGAACTATATTACTTTTTTTTCCTCTCCTGCACAATGGAAGGGATAGGAAAATAGGTCATCATTTATTGAAAAGTTCGCCAAGTGAATTTATTCTTTGCGCAAACTGAAATAAATGCGTAAAGTTAAATTTTTGATTTTCTCCGTAAATTTCGCACTAAATTTTATAAAGTTTAATCTTTAGGCATAATCGAAATATGGGGGAAAAAACTATCATGTCGTTTCAGAAAAAGATCGATTTTGCGTCAAAATCACTATGTTAAAACAATGCTATTTTGATATGATGCTCGTCAATCGGCCCAGTAAAACGGGAGATAATTATTTGATTTGATGTTTTTAACTGTA